ATTTAATCCTGAAAAATATCAATGCCATATATAAATGCAATTGAACCCCCAATTGTAATTGCAAAACTAGGTAATTGTCAAACAACTTATCATTCATATTATGATATTCATTATTGTTTTCACCACAGTCAGTCATTATCCATTTTACCAATCTACACAATACATCATAAAATTAATATAAAAATACTAATTATTTTCCTTATTTATTTATTTATACTTAAAATTATTATCTATTTTAATTTACTTTATAATTATGCATCAACACACAACTTTTTGAATTTCTATATAAATATTGCCAAATTTTGAGTAAAATTTATAGACAAAAATAGCAATAAATATATCATTATTTACAAATAATAATTTCAAGTTTATTACCTCTATTTTGCCTGAGCTTTCTGTATGAGTACAACATTTATATTTCCTGTCAAATCTTCCTGCTTGTAATTTTGTAATTTAAATAATGTAAAAAGATTTATGCACAAACTAATTCATATATAAATGTTTCCTTCATGTTATTAATATTTATATAGAACAAGACAGCAACAAATTTAGTATTACTTATAAATTGTAATTAAAAAAAAAAAAACTTACTTCTTTGTCTTTGTTTGAACTTACTTCTTTTTGGTAAGGGTAATTCCTTCCCTTTAATAAATAGTGGGATAATCTTAATGCCTATTCTACATATAGAATATATTAATTCTTTATTTAGAATTTAACTATTGTGCCTCTCCAATTTGAAACCCATGCCATTGGACAGAAAAATACTAACTGCAATTTCACAACAACTTAGAAAAACAAACACATTTTGTTTAAACAACTATATAAATTCATTACATTAAAATAAATACAAACTTTAAAACTTAAGATAAAGATATATTCAAAAACTTACAATATATTATAACCTATGGCACTAAAATTAAAATAACAATTAAATAAATATTACTATTTACTATTTAAATAATTATGAACTAAATAAAAAAAAAGCAAACATAAATTTTTTTAAGAAGTCAATTTGAAAGATTCTTTAAAAGTAAATTTAACTTAATAAAATCTAACCTGAATATCACCACCAGACAATAACACTGTACTAAATAATTAGATTCATGTAAAACATGATTGAGTATCTAACAAAAAAAAAAAGCAATAAAAAATAAAAACAACTTAGTTATATTTAAAGGTCATCTTCAGCGTCTATAAAATTAACAGCTTGTCAAGAAACAAGTTCAACACAGCACCTCCAAAACAGAACACATTTCATTAACTAAAACATTAAAAAGTCAAACTTTAGTTACTATAAAAACAAGTTAAAAAATTATAAATAAGAGTATATTTAATAATTATAATTTTTATGATAATGTTTTAAGAGATATTCAAAGATATTCAGAGATTTATGAAAGTTAAAAAAAGAAATTTAAATACTTATTGCATGCACATCTACAGTGCCTAGTGGATCACATGTTAATTATGTCATCAAAGTTATTGATGTGCACTCGGTTTAAAATGTTTAACAGGGACGTTGTTAAATAGCTGTAAATTCTAAGTTTCCTTATTATGTTAATATTAAATAGTTTTAACTTTTAATTATTTTTAAAAACAATATATTTTATAAAATAATTTAGTTTTGATATAAAATTAAAATTTTTAATTATGTTCTAATAAAAAAATACTTTTTAAACCTCCTTACTGTTTTTAAAAAAAGTTAAGGTTGTCGTGTGGCAAGTTTGCTTGGTTGCAAATGCAAATCAAAAAACTTAATAGTTCTATAGATTTTATATTCTATATATAAAAATGTTGTTTACTCATTTTCCTTGCACGAACTCAACTTAGTTGAGTTTGTGCAAGTTAATTGAAACTAAAATAACATAAGTATCTCATCAATGACACATGCGCAACAAATCTTAAAAAATGAAAAAAAAAGTTGCTGTTTTAGGACTCAAACCACTTCTTTCATGTTCAGAAGCTCAGCATGCTAACCACTTATCCATGCTGGCACGTTGATCATCGAAGTTTTAAAATTATATAAAAATTGTTTTTAACGGATATAGATGCTAAAGATCGGAAATTAAGAAGCGGTTGATGCAATGCAGTTTTTAAGTGAAAACCAAACTGTTAAACTTGATATATGTTTAAGTATGTTTTAACATAACATAATATGAAGTTTACGTACGTACAATATAAGTTTCACATTTGCTCACGTTTTCTTATAAAGCAAAGGTGAGACACTTTCTTGCCAATACCTCGGTTGCAATGGCTGCCAAGGGTTTTGTGTCAAATATGCTCCAAGGGACACTACTATTAAAACTATTATCATTATAAACATAGTTAGACCTGGTCTTACAGCCAACCTTCAACCATTATCATATCATCGTAATGTTGCTTCTCTTTCTCCTTTATCTAAATACTATTATGGGCATTGCTCTAAAGAACTAGTGTCTCTTGTGTCATATACTAAAATTCATTCATATGTTACTTGTCACTCAATTTAGTCTCATCTCTTTACTGTAACTGTTTCTAAGAGCTCAAAAAATTCTCATTCATCTAGTTTTTTCCTCAAACATCAAATATTTGCAATTCACTCCCGTACATCTTGTTTTCCTGAATAATATAATTTGCAATCTTTTAAATCATCTGTTAATCTTCATCTTGCCCTATAAACTTCATCTTTTCTCTCTCAGTTACTTCCAACTCTAATAGTGGTTGCTTGCTGCCTTGTTCAAAGTGAAGATGTTCAATATATATATATATATATATATATATATATATATATATATATATATATATATATATATATATATTATATATATATATATATATATATATATATATATATATATATATATATATATATATATATATATATATATATATATATATACATATATATATATATATATATATATATATATAAATATATATATATATATATATATATATATATATATATATATAGTATATATATATATATATATATATATATATATATATATATATATATATATATATATATATATATATATATATATATATATATATATATATATAAACACACACACACACACACACACTAGGGTCATCACTTTTTTGTAAAATTTTGGTATCTCCAGTTTCCTGTATAAAAAACAGATGAACTGGTTTGAATCTAACTTAAAAGTCAATGGTTTTATTTAGTTTTTGAAAAAGGTCACCCACCATGACTCTTGATAACACACTGGTTCCCATATATCAGTGAATTTTTTTTCTTTAAAAGTATATCAACCTTGATCTCAAAAGAATTTTATAGTGATTTTAAAATTAATAATCTTTTCTAATGAAACCTTTTTTTAAAAAAATTATCGCAAATAATAAAAAACAACATTTTTAGTTAAAAATTGTTGTTTATTTGTTAAAAATTTTAGTTAAAAATTGTTGTTTATTTTAAATTTAACAATATATTTTTATTTGAAACCATTATTATTTCTAAAAAATCTATGAATATTTGGTTCTTCTGAGAACCAGGTTGATATACTTTTGAAGAAAAAAAAATTTACTGATATATAGGAGCCTGTGTGTTATCAAGGGTTTATGGTGGGTGACCTTTTTCAAAAATTAAATAAAACCAATGACCTTTAAGTTACATTCAAACCAAAGTTCATCTGTTTTTTATTCAAACCAAAGTTCATCTGTTTTTTATAAAGGAAACTAGAGATACCAAAAAGTTAACATCCTAATATACACACACACACACACATATATTATAAACATAAATGTTATATATGCTAAAAAATTTTTAACATGTTTAAGTTGGATAGTTTCATAAGGTATTAATTTTTAGAACAATATGACAAATTGTGACAAATTTTTGGTGTATGGCGAATATTATAAGATAATTCGTGATCGTTTCGTTATATGCATTTTGGAAGATAACCTGCTAGGTATAAGTCAATTAGAAGAGGTAAGGTTGTTACTTTTATTACTGTGAAAATCCCAATATGAAAAATGATGTTGAGACAATATTATTCCCACGTCTTCCGTATTGTTGGAAAGATGTTAACATATTATTATGAATGAAACAGCAGAAAAACGTCATTTTCCTAATGTTATTACAACATTGTAAAATGACGTTGTGACAATGATACATTTTAGCTAAATAACGTCGGGAAGGCGATAGAGCAACGTTAAATTTTAAGAAAAAAAATGTTATAAAAACGTTGGGCAAACGTTATATTTTAGCTAAAATGAGGTCAAGCCAATGTCTTTTCTAATGTTGTTTATGTGTTGAAATAATTGCATAAATGAAATATAGGTCAACGTTTTTTCCTTCAACATTTTTCTATCATTTTTTATGTTATTTCTAAACTGCAAAAAACAATAGCACACAATTTTACACTGTATGACTTTGCGCTGTGAAGTTATATTTTCTTTTTATTTATTAAGGTTTTACACGATTATTATATTAGTCCTGGAAAATAATTGAATACGGAAATTAAAGACTAAAAATAAATAAATATTGCTATTCAAAATAAAAAAAAACACTTCTATTCTAAAATTTTTAAATTGTATATATTAACTTATAATGAAACTAGTTTGATTTTTAATTTCTTTGCAAAATTTAACCATATCTCAACCATATCATTATTGTATTCTTTGTTTGATACTAAAAGAGTAATATATATAAAGAAACATAAAGTTACAAACAAATCCAATTAAAAGCATTTTTAAGAACGAAATAAAAAAACATCGGCAATGAACAAACAGAAATACCACAAATACGAGAAATTGGAGTAACTTTCTATTTGCTCATCTGAGTTTTTCTGCTTTCAAAAGATTATTGATTGCAAATTGTTTAGCAACATCGTCTAAAATAAAAAAAAAAACAATCCCTAAATAAACTGCAAAACTAATCAAACTGCCCCCTTCCCCCCTCCCTCCCAAAAAAAAAGTTAATTGAATAAATAAATAAAATTTATTTAAAAGACACAATCATGACATAATAGAAAAAAATATGTATTTCTACTTTTACCCTTAAAAGATATATCTTTTAGTTTGAGTTCAAATATCTGTGAAGTGTTTTTTCTCACAGGGGTTATTTTGGCAAAAGCAATATATTTTTTTATAACTTGAATTGCATGGTGCAGTAAAAAAACTGAAATTGAACATTTTCACAAAGTTAAGAATCAAAAATCGTTTTTAAAAATAGCTCTCTTTAACACTGACGATTACTTTGTTAGATGTTTTTTCTTCCAATCCAAACTACTTACATTTCACTTGAATGCTTTACCATTTAAGCAAGTGGCATCTTCTTACCAAAAACCAATAATTTTAGAAAAAGGGAACATTCAAAAAATTATAAAAAATGAATAAGGTTATATAAATTGTATATTATGAATGTTGGACCATAATAATCCACAGCCTCAAAAATCCAGTTGTCCAAACCAACTTAATAGCATCAATGCATAACCAATGCATCAATTTTATTAATTTAGTTTGTATCATCAGTACATAGTGACCAGTATATAAAAGAAAATAACTAACATTTTTTTAATTTTTTTAAATATAGTGACCAGTATAAAACATAGTATATAAATATAGTGACCAGTATATAAAAGAAAATAACTAAAAAAATTTTATTTTTTAAAACACCACCAGTGATCTAGACTTTCTGACAAAATCAGATGGTTTTTAACCGGATAAGTCATTTGACTTTTCAAAAATATGATTAATTTGAACATATGACAAATGATACCTCTTTGGCTCCTTTTTTCAAAACACCAATCAACAGACAACCCCAAAACAAACTATATTGCATAAACTAGATAATATATTATATAGACTAGATGTTTAACATGCAGGATTTTATTGGACTCAAAATGAAGTTGCTTTTTTTGCTTATAATTATAGTTTTCTTATATATAAAAGTTTTTTTGCTTATATATAAAAGTTAAAAATGCGAGTCAAAAGTTTCTAATAAATTAAAGATAATTCAAAAACATGTTTAATAATTATAAAATATTTATAAAGTTTATGACCCAATATTTAATAAAAAGTATTATAATTCATAAAAATGCTTCAAAAGCATTTGTCGTTTCACTTTTCTATTTAAAACTTGAATCCTTTTTCTAATCGAAAATAAATTTAGAAATCATAAATTATTATTTTACAAGTATTCTAATTTCCTCATAACACTTTTACATAAATAGTATATAGACTTAAAATATATTTACTTCATATAAGGAAATAATAGTAAGGAAATAATAACTTCATATAAGTTAAATAATATTTGTTTACAAATTTAATTCGTCATTTGTAAAAAGGACAAAAGTGGCTTCACTTTTTGGATTGAAGTAAGACATCTCACTTATATAAACTATCATTGTTTAATATACATGTCATCATCATGGAGCATACTTTTAATACCAATGGCTAGAAGTCTAAACCAAGATAAATGTAGTCACAATAATTTTTCAGTATTCACATGATTAGGTGTTTTAGTAACATTTACTTCCTATGCCCATGTTGCCGCATTAAGACAAGCAAATCATTTAATGAAAATTGTACAACTAAATGTTAAACTGGCCACTGGACATGGTCAAGAATTGAAAATCAGGACAATTATCAGAGAGAAAATTTTTTTATACAATCAGCCCTTTTTAAATAGAGTTTAGTTAAAGATAACATAGAATCACTTACAAAAATATAAAAACTATTGGAATCAGCTAAAAGAAAAAATAACCAATTAAACTTTAATAATTATCATTTTATAATAAACTGGTTATCAAAAAATTAGCCTTTTATCATATAGTTGATCATGATATTATATATTTATATTTGTTTATCTGTAAGCACAAATATATAAACGTATATATATTTATAACAATATATATATATATATATATATATATATATATATATATATATATATATATATACATATATATATATATATATATATATATTGTTTTGACTTGTTTTGATTTCAAACATTTTGATAACTTTGAACTACACCTTTTCAAGATGTAAATGAGAACATGAAAGTTGTAATTAAGAAGTCGTAATATGTAATTAAGAAACACAACATGTAATTGAGAAAACGTTATATGTAATTGAGAAACACAACATGTAAATAAGAAGTCGTAACATGTAATTAAGAAACACAACATGTAGTTGAGAAAACGTAAGATATAATTGAGAAATCATAATATGTAATTGAGAAATCGTAACTTGTAATTGAGAACAAATAAATTAAAATAGCAAATTCACAGTCTAAGTTTGTAGGTTGTTACAAAAGGTCTTTTTAGACCTGAATTTAAGTTATAATCTTAAATTTTGCTTTTGTATGCACAACTAATAATAATAGAATTGAAAGATCGTTGTGTTATATGCCAATACACTATGACCCGAAAGTCTGTGATTAAGCTAAATCCGTGTCAACATTTATGTCACCAAATTTGTTTACGCCCAGTTCTGGAACAACCAGATTCAAGTTGTCCGATTTGTCGGCATGAAATACACACAACTGAACAAGTTGAAAGGAAACTTTACGTTTTATCTTCTCCAAATGACAGGAGAAGAGTTGTTGAATGTGCGGAGCGATTTGAAGATTGGGTGAATCTCGCGCAAACGCTAGGTATCAAATATAAGACAGCATACAATTGGGTTCGCAGCGGAAATTCAAATTTCATCGGAAAAGGAGGTTTTAAACCGAAAAAGTTGACCGAAGATCAAATCGAAGAAACGTTAACATGGATTGAAAATGATTGTCAATTAACATTGGTGGCCATCAAAACCATGATATTAAGACAATTTAACATAAACGTTAGCACAACAACAATATCAAATTACCTTGAAGGCAGATTGTTCTCATTAAAAAAAGTGCACAAGGAGCCTTCTACAATGAACAGTTATGAAAACAAACAAAAAAGAGCTGAATATGTTAGAAACATCAACGAACATATCACAAATGGTTGTCAGATAGTTTGGTTGGATGAAACAAATTTTACCCTTTTTTGTAGAAAAACGTAAGGACGCGCGAGACAAGGAAAAAGAGCAATTATGAAAGTACCTGCTTCAAAAGGTTTAAACATACACTTGATCGCAGCTATTTCAACTACAAATGTCGTCATGATAGAAACTCGCAGGGGATCATTTAAAGCAGATTCCTGTAACGAGTGGATGTTGGCTATGTTTCACCAGTGGGTTACATCCGGGAATCGTTTGCAGGATTTGGTCGTCGTAACAGATAATGCTCCTTGTCACGCTCGTTTGCAAAGGGTGTTTGATAATTCACCAGCTCAGTTGTTACGTTTGGGACCTTACAGTCCAATGTTGAACCCGGTGGAAACAATCTGGTCCAAAATTAAAAGTAACGTTAAAAATGCAATTCGCATTCCACCTGTATTAGGTGACGGGATTGCGGAACAGCGCATGCAGTACTTAGAACGAATTGTAATTGAGGCGAAAAATACTATAATGGGAGGAGATTGTGCACGTGCGGTACAACACACAACCACGCACTATGCAACTATTTTAAATATGGAAGACGTACAAGTTGGTGCTTAAATGATCAATGAAGTGATTTTTAATTATATAATTTTTAATTATAATTTTTAATTGAATTATAAATTTTTCCCTAAAATGTTTTTAGTGTTTATTATGTTAAATTCATTTGCCCAAAAATTTTTCCCTAAATTTTTCCCTAAAAAATTAAATTTACGCTACAAATCTTGCGTCATTTTTAAGTGCGTCATTTTATATGCTCCATTTTTTTACGCGCCATTTTTTTTAAGCGCCATTTTACACTTACTCCTTTAAAGCGATATCTAAATTAAAATTTTTGTGTTCTCAATTACATCTTTCTATTTCTTAATTAAAACTTACATTTTCTCAATTACATGTTACGATTCTTAATTACAATTTTCGTTTTCTAAATTACATCTTATGTTTCTTAATTACAACTTTTGTTTTCTCAATTACATCTTACGATTCTTAATTACAATTTTTGTTTTCTCAATTACATCTTGAAAAGGTGTAGAACTCTGCACATAAAAATTGAACAAAAAACAATAGCATCCAAAAAATACATGATTTAACATTGCATGTGTTTTATTAAAATATAAGATTAGTTTATTTTTCCGCGCAGTAGCCTTGTTCGTCAAGGTTGGTGTTTTGTAGTTGGAATATATATATATATATATATATATATATATATATATATATATATATATATATATATATATATATATATATATATATATATATATATATATATATATATATATATATATATATATATATATATATATATATATATATATATATATATATATATATATATATATATATATATATATATATATATATATACTTTGGTATAACATATCAATTTTAAAAACTATATCATATCACATACCACATACAAAAACTATACACAAATGTATTTAAAACGTATTCTATTGAAATATTTTCGTGTTTCAGAGTTATAGAGTTGTCTTTGTTTTAACTCTGAAATTAAGTAAGTATATGATATTGTGAATCATTTCAACAATTAAACTGACTGAGTGTGTATAATGTAACACTGTGTTTGTATTGATTCAAATAAATATTTTGTTTATTATGACTAAGTTCTGGTGTAAAATTTTATTGTTCTGTTGCTGTTCTGTAGGATATGTTTTTTGCTTGCTTCATAGTGAAAAATTCTGAGTTCTATCCCTACCATGTCCCTGTTAGTAATGTGGAAATGAATAATAGTAAAAAATAAATAAATAAAAATAAGCTAATACAAAAACATTAATTTTTTACTCTTTTTCGTGACTTATGACTGAAATTTTTGAAAGTCAGTGTCAGTTATAATATTGTAGAAATAGCATGTCATAAAGTTTTAATCAGTAAATTTAATTTTAGGAATTTGAAATTAATACAAATAAACTTTTTTTTTTTTAAACTGTAACAATATTTATATCTGTTAACTTACAAAATAATGAAAAATTTAGGATTAACCACATTATATAAATTTGTATTGTATAAGAAAACAAATTGTTATCTTTAATTTAAGTAATATTAATTGTTACTTATTCTTAATAAATGTAATTACTAAAATCACTATTAAATGTGTATTAAAAAAAATACAAAAGTAATAACAATGCAAATTCTATAACATTCTAGTCTAGAATTAGTTCCACAAAAAACTAAAAAATCTTCCATTCGAACAAATAAAAATATATTAGGTATTAAGACAGCTGAATTAAATGCCATAAAGAAAAAACTCTGTATTTTTATTGACATTGAATTAAGTTATTAAATAGTTTAATAATGGGTATTTAAAAAACACATCATTGCATTAATTATTTGTAAATAAAATATTATGTGAAATATTATATATGTTAGAAACTTTCACTATATAAGTAATGTTAAATATACAAAGTAAAACATAAAAAAATAAAACATTAAAAAACAAAAACATAACAAAAACTCAACAACTTTTGAAATCGAATAAGGTTTTAGTAACTTTAATTTATCATTAAAAGGATAAGAAAATTGATATATAATTTGACTGTAGAATATAAAGAGATAGTATAATAAGTATTAGTATTGCAGGTTATAATGCATAAAAACCAGATTAAAAATCATATTTTTCCAAAAACGGTTTTTTAACCATTTTATAATGCGCCAATTTTTATTGTTTTATAAAAAAGTTGTTATGTCAAAAGTTAAAAACATTAAAAAACCCACGTTGTTCCAAAGATATTTTTCCGACGTTGTTCCAAAGTTTGATAGCAAACGTTAGAATAACACCGTTATGCTGACTTTAGAACATTGTTGGAATTCAGTTAACTTGCATTGCGACCAAAATTCAACCAAATTACAACAACAGCTCGACGTTTTGTTCTTACTGGGATGGTTTTATAGATTAAAAATATTTTATAGTTTCAAAATGTTTTATACATGAAAATAAAAAGATAATATGTTATGTATTGTAGGATGATGAAGACAAAACAAATGTGTTTCTTCAGTTATCATTATTCAAAGCATTATCCAATCTTCCTGTAGGAATGAATATTTATTATTATGATTACAAATATATATATATTTTTTTTGTTTTACTGTTATATTGTAATATTTATATGTACATGCAGATATATTTTTTCTTTATCTTTAGAACCTTACAATACTTGAAGGTAAAATAAAAATACAGGTAATACAAAAATTTCGTAGAATTTTTTTTCTTTTAGTTTTACTATATTATAACTAGTTAAATTTGTCTTTAGGCATGTTTATCTGCCATAAGATGCTTTTCAAATTTAGAACCGTATTCTTCAATTTTATATCATTTCTGGGTTGTAATAAATTCTGGCAATCCTTCTACACGTCTCTTTTTGCTGCTGGCCACCCATCCACAACATGTTTATGTTAGAATATTGGATACATATTTAAAAAAAAAAAAAATTTGTACAGATATAAAATATCAACAATGTTAAGGAGATAAGCAATGTTAAGGAAATAAGCAATGTTAAGGAGATAAGCATGATTCTAAAAACTTTCTTTATAATCAAAAAAGAAAGCTTTTAGAAATTCAAACAGGCCTTAAACATGAAAATTCACAACAAAACAATGAAGTGTGATAGCATAATTAATTATAGATATTTTCTTCAAAACCTAGAATCGCCATAAAATTAATTTGGAATATGTTGAGTTTTGGTGACAATACAAATAAAAGATTATTGTTTTGTTTTGATATAATGATAAAATAAATTGTTAAAAGCTAATTTATCATTCTTACACTTTAAATTTATTATTATTATTTTATTTTATTGTTATCATATTATCATATATTAGGATAGTGTTTAAAACAGCATTGTTTAAAAGTTCCTTTAAAAATAAAAATCAAAAATGAATTAATTTTTTTATTTTATGTGTTATTGTTGGTGATAAAATAAATATAAAAAGTTATCTCCTAGCTCCCTCCATAAAAAGATCTCCTTGATGTTCCAATCTTGTTTATTTCCTTAACATTTCTTTTTTTTTTTTTTTTCCTTCTTTTTTTTTTTATTTAAATTATATGATTTTTTTATTTTTATTTGTTTACCTAACAAGTGCTTGAATTTTTTAAGTGATTTCAAGTGTAAACAGGGTACATACCATTTACTATAGGAGACCATTTTGACTAATGCTGCATAGTTTTTGCTTTTTATTAGGAATGGTTTTTTCCTGCAATGCCACATGATAACTTATCAGATGTATTTGGCCTAAATCGTGGTGATAACAGCAATTCTTTTTTATTTTATGGTAACCTTATTTCTATAAACTTTTATGCTTTTTTAATTACTATTTATTTTTATATATATTTAATTGGAAAATTTATTTAAATGTTGTTTAGCCTGTCCTCGTGGTCATCCATATGTGATAACAAATGTAAGAGCTTAATTTCATGTTTTATTAATTTTATTGCATATTTAATTTCACACTAAGTAAAAAGCAAAAAATTTATTTGAGTCAAAAGCAATTAAATAATAAATTAAAATAAAATAACTGATTTTAATAACTTTTATTTAATTAAATACAAAAGGTATTATTCTTCATTACCTCTTAAAAGTGGCAGATAAATAAGTTTCAAGGCTCCTCTCCAGAAATTTCTGGAGCTACTTTAAGCACACCTTTTTTGGGCTACTCGAGAAACAATTTCTATAATATGTTTTTTTACCGTTTGGAATTTTTTACAGTAAATTACCATAAAAAATATCATCAGTCTTAGTTGATTTGACTTTTAAATAAAAATTTATTGAATAGTTGAATACCATGTGTATTTAAAGATTTAAAGGTTTATTAAATTTTGACAAGATTTATTAATTGGTAATTTCAAAAGAGTACTTTAAAATTCTGGAGAAGGTTGTTAAACTTGATTTGTTTCTTATATTGTATAAAATATTAGATTTTATATATAAATGAACAATTCTTTAAACAGTTAAATGCATAACAGTTATACAAGCGTTATCTGACTTGAGTCTATTTACATTGAATATTCCTGACAAAAAAAAGTGTTTTAAATTATCAGAGAAAAAATTAAAATGTAATAAAAAAGCAATGGGAGAGTTAACAAAATACTTAATATAACTAATGAAAAAGGAAATTAAAAAATGAAAAGGGAAAATTTTTGATTTTCTTTGTACAGATTCATGTTGTCTCAGATGTCCAAACTCCAATAATTCTTGATCTTAAGAAGGGAAATTGACTAAGGAAGATCAGAAATAATATAAGTTTAAAGTAGAAAACATCAGGAAAGTGGGATATGTGGCAGACTAAACTAAAAAAATTAGTCTGTTAAAAATTTCGAAAATAGGATTGAAACTATGCTTGTGAATGATAAAGTAAATGACAATACTAAGAGAATAAATTACTAGCACTTTTGATTCTTAAAACAATGATGATTTTATTCAGGTTAACTCTGAATTTAAATATCCCTGCTTAGGGTTGAGTAAAGACTAAAGATTATGTCTCAATAAAAATACTCATCTTAGTCAGATGTTAACTGCCTTCAGCTAACTTTTAGGCCTCCTAGGTAAACAGTTTAGGAGTTATCAGAAAATTTCTGTTGACCAGCTTTGCAGCCTTGAAAATTTAAAATCTTCATAATCAAAATAAAATTAATGTGTATGTAGTGTAATATACTTAATTTATATAAAATGTAGTGTATTTATTGAAAATTATTAATTAATGAAGATTATTTTTATAAAAATGTTCTATACAATGAGCTTTTTAGTGTGGTCAACCTAATCAAACATATTTGTGCCCTGTTTCAAATTGTCAATTAGCAATTGGAGGAGAAAATCATACACTGCTTTCCTCAAATAGAATAGTTTTTGCAAGGTATTTACTTAATTAAGTATAAAAGAATTTTAGTATTTTTTTAGATTTTATTAAAAATGTATGTTTTAATTAGCATAATCAATACTTTATTTAGTTGATGGAAATATATACATTTATATTATAGATATCTTTTTCCTTGATGCAAATAAGAAACAAAACAAACATGAAAGAACTAGAAAATAGAAAAATAAAAAATTAAGTAAAATAATAATGACAAAAAAAAAACCTGAAACAAAATAAATAAATATTTTCAAGTCTATAACATGTTTTATATGTTTTTGTTTCAAAAAACTTAAGTCTTCTCAAATGTTGTTTTTCTCAGATGATAGTGTGATGTCAACAGGTGTTTTATGATCATGTAAATCTGCAATTATTTATACAAATCATATGTGCATATATATATATATATATATATATATATATATATATATATATATATATATATATATATATATATATATATATACATATATATATATATATATATAAACACACACACATATAATGTGCGTGCATGTGTATTTAGCTGTTATAAAACATCACTGATGGCATCATACTTAGGTATTTACCCTATTTTCATAGTTTTAGAAATCATGATTTACTTATTAGAGTTGATGCAACAAAACCTGGTCATTGTTTGGGTCCAGCTTCAGAACGCCCAAATTTTTGTATTCCACAGCGAGAATTGAAACCCTTGTCTGTTACACTTCTAAATTTATTAGTGCATCTTTCATTACTTATTGCAACTCTGACTGGTCATGTAAAGGTGTTTATAATTTTTTTATGAAACTTTTTCTGTGTAGAAAATTTTATCAAACAACATTCTAAAACTCTTATTTATTTTAGGATGTTGTGAGATTGGTGCATTCAGAAGTAAATTCAGATTCAATGCAAACGTTTCTAGTACAGCACATTGAAAAAGATCTTGCTCTATTGTCTAATAGAATAGCAAAGAATAATGATGATACAAACTCTGCAGTTCACACTTTTTTTAAACACCTGCTATTAAATGATGAACCAGGTCTTTGTTTTACTATTAAGTTGTATTTTGTTTTATATCGTATTTATGATTTTAGCCTAAAAAATAAAATTTTTTAAATACTGATGTATCATTTGTAAAACTATCAACTTGTAATTTTTCTATTTTTATTTATTTCTTATGATAGTAAAAAAGGTTAAAGTTCTAAAAATTTACACTTATAGAAAAATATTTACACTTTACAGAGAAACAAGTTAAACAAAGTAACAAGACAATCAATCAAAAACAAAAAGCTCAAAAACACAGCCAAACATTCAAAATACTTATTGGATACAAATGATAGATTAAAAACAACACCAAATTTAACACAGTTAAAAAAAACTGATATCCAAGTGTTGCCATAAAAACAAATTTTTGATAGATAACCACAAACTAAAAGATTAGATTTTTTTAACGCATTTTACTTTTGTACAGATTTTTTTTTATTAAGAAAAAATCATATTTTTTCCTTTTAGCTTAATCTATTTTAATTTATTTTAATTCATTGAGCAATCTCCTGAAGATATATGCAAGCACTCATGTGTGCACACACATATGTATGTGTATATATATATATATATATATATATATATATATATATATATATATATATATATATATATATATATATATATACAGTATGTGCCAAAATTGTTACCATGTTTGAACAAAAAAATATTTTATATATATTTTATTAGAAAAGCAGTGAAGAAAAATGAAATTTTAGTTTTATTAATTAAATTTAAGACAATTAACATATATGTCCACAGTTAATTAGGCATACAATTAATAGCCTTATGACTAAAATAATTGAGTTATGACTAAAATCATTTAAAGTTTGATTTTGTTTACAAAACATAAAAAAAAATTATTGTTATTATCATCATGAGGAAAATAAATCTTTTACGAAAATAAAATTTTTACACCTAGAGACCAAAGATCAATCGCTCGTTTAATTGCTTCTGGAGAGTCTAAAACTGGAAAGGATGTTACTAATTTAATGAATAACAGCTATGGGACTCATGCTTCAATGTGGACAGTCAATAGAGAACTCAAAAGAATTGGTTTTCAATCTAGAAGGAAGATCAAGAAGACATTGTTAGTTTCTTGTCACTGCCAAGCTCATTTAAATTATGCTAAACTTCATGCAGACATGACTTTTGATGACTTTTATGACTGGATTTGGACAGATGAAAGTAAAACTAATATGTTTGGATCAGATGGTTTAAGATATACTTGGAGAAAGCCTAATTCACCATTAAGTGCTCAAGATTTTACACCAACTGTTAAATATGGCGAAGGAAAACTCTTGTTTTGGGGATGTTTCTGTGCTCGTGGAGTCGGTGAATTAGTGAAAATTAATGGAATAATGAACGCTGATGACTATATCAACATCCTTAAGGTTGGATATTTCAAATACCTTCAAAAATGGGGCAGAACTGTACGTAACACAATTTTCACGCAAGATAACAACCCCAAGCATAAGGCTGATAAAACCATTAAATTCACGAGAAGAAATTGAAAGTTGTTGACTGGCCAGCACAAAGCCCTGATCTTAACCCACTCAAAAATTTATGGGCAATAGTTAAACAACGGGTCTACAATTTTCCTACTCCACCTAAGAATAAGGATGAACTTTGGGCTCGTATACAAGAGGTTTGGTACTTAATTACACCAGAGGAATGCTGCAAATTGGTTGCTAGTGTTCCTGAAGGGAGGATACACTCGATATTAATTTACTACAATATATCATTTGATTTCATTTGCGACAAAATTGTCACTATTAGCTCTTCACATAAAAATTTAAAAAAAAATTTAATATTCTCTAAATTTAATAGAAAGCAATATTTTCAGTTAGCTGAGTCTTAAATTGAATTAATAAAACTAAAATTTTATTTTTCTTCACAGATTTTCTAATAAAATATATACAAAATATTTTTTTGTTCAAACATGGTGACAATATTGGCACATACTGTATATATATACATGAAATATTTATAATTGTAACAATTACAAAAGATAAACAACTAAGTTTTGCTATGGTTAAATTTTACCAGCTACTGCAAGCACCAAGTAATCACAAAAGAGATAACACATTCAAGTTTAGCTGTCTGTTCTAAGCAAGAACAAGTCAATCCTGGAGTATATAAAGCTTCCCTCAAAAGTTTTAAAGTGTTAATTTCAATAGTCTTTTCTGTTTTATTTATTTATTTTTTTCAAAAGAAAAAGTTCTTGAAAATCAGTTAAAATGATTTTTTTATAAATTTAAGTTTCATCAAATTCAAAATGAGAAAAGAAAATTGAAAAAAAAAAGTACAAATCTAATATTTAAAGTGTTCTTGTTTGATTGATAGCAACGACTTATCTCTGCATTGATTTAACCAGTTTCAAATGTCTAGTTGATTTAATTTGATGGTTTAACAGTTGATCATAGATTTAGAAACAAATATTTGTGGTTAGGATTAAACATTTTGTGATCTATGGCAACAAATTATTCTTTTTTGTATTTGAACTAGTATGTTATACTATATGCTGAGTATGCTGGGGCCCCAATTTACTGGAAGGTGTATTCTTTGATTTTGTTATACAGTTGCTTTATTAATTAAATCAGACATGATTGGAATGTGTATATTGATATACTGCTCACATATAACAAGGACTTTTGGGGAAAAACATCTCTATATTTTGATTGGGCAGTACCAGACTAGAAAAAATACAATCAAACTTTTAGGTTAAAAACTTCAAAGAAACAATCAATATTGAAAAACTTATAACCGAAAAAAAAAAAATGCTACATAAAAACAAGACAAAGAACCAGTAATCTCTACTCGGTTATAAGTTTTTAAATATTGATTGTTTCTTTGAAGTTTTTAACCTAAAAGTTTGATTGTATTTTTTCTAGTCTTGTACTGCCCAATTAAAATATTCTTTTTACTCTTTTTGACTTTTGAATCAACCAATGATCTAGTCAAAATAGGTTTTCTTATTACAATGTAATTAAAGACTGGCCAGGGAGGTTGGGGTATCCTCCATCCTCCTTAGGCCCTTGCCATGCCTTAAGGTCCTGGAAACTATAAATCAATATGCACAAGTAAAACACACTAAAATACAAATTAACAATAATTATTTATTGTGTATGCATTAATTCTTCAAAGCCAATACAATAAATATGGTAGTTAGTTCTTTAATTTAAATATGAAATGTTTAATAAAATATAGGAAGACATCTTAAAGCATCCTTATATTGCTATTTATTAGTGGTAGATTATCACGAGTAAGTGGTAAATTATTATGAGTTAGAGACTAAATAATTAATCTATTACAAAAAAAATCAATAAACTTCGTGTTTTTTCTGAATCATGCATCTATTTTTTTTATAAGCCCAGAGCCCTGGAGAGAATTAAAATGTGCTGGTGTAAAATTATTTTGGGCCCCCTCCTTATGACGGTTATATTATTAAGACATTCAGAATGTAATTTTAATAATAGTAATAAGCACTGACTTATAATAAGCCAGAGCTTTCTAATCAGAAAAGCTCAGAAATGTTTAATGGGGCTGGAGATTTTATTATTTAAAATATTATTATTTCTTAGTAAACATATTTCAGTTTTTTGTATTTATAAAAAATATATTTTGAAATATTATTGGTGTTCAGCTTTAAATACGGTAAAATGGGTTAATCTAATAAATTTTAAATTTAGAAAAAAAAAAAAAATTTTTAGAACTTTTTTTTTATATATAATTTTAAAAAATTTATATTATAATAAAACAAAGCATTATATTATAAAATTATAATTAAAATTTTTAATTTTTAAATTTGTGTTAATGGTTATGTTCTATACACAGTAAAATACAAATCTTATTTGGTTACCATAACTTAGCCGCAAATTTGTATTTTAAGAAATCAAAACATAAACATGGTCATGGCATGCAGCAACCCCGTTTATGTTTGATTCCTTGAAAATAGAAGCATTGTGTTACTTGCAGTGCAATGTGACCTTTTTATATTTTTCTATATATTATCTTAGTATAAAATTTATTTTTAATATATTGTAATTTAAGTTAATATAATCTTTACTTAATTTCTAATAAATAAATGTTTCATAAATTTTATAGGTAGTAGACAGATAATGAAAGTCAAAAAAAAAAAAAGTCTGGTGCACAGAACAAAGCTCAAAAGAGACAATTCGAACTGACCAATGCTGCAAAAAACCAAAAGCAGACAAAATTATTATTTGGAAATGGGAACATACAAGTACTACGGAAGCTGATTGTAGCAGCTGATAGTGAACTGACAAAACTTCGAGAAGTTATTTTTCCACATGTTATTGAAGACCCTAAGTATGGAGAAGAATTGATTGTTTCACAAGTTATCATTCATGATAATATGGATAGAGAAGAATTGATTGTCCCAGAAGTTATTTTTCAGAATGAGGGTAGAGATAATATGATTGTTTTGGAGGATATTTTGTATCTAAAGAAGAAGATACTGATGGTGATTAATCTGAGTCAAATAAGATTGATGAAGAATTAGCAACAGATAAAACTTCTTTTTTGAGTAAAAAACTTCTTTTCATAAAATTGCACCCACTACAGCCATCAAATGTGTCGGATTTAAATGAAAAATGTGTATATAACAGAGATATGTCTAACGTTTGAAGTCCAATGAAATAATGTTCCACTTTGCAGCTAAGAATACTAATGAAACTGTTCACCTGTTTGCAGCTGAGAATAAGAAAGAAATTGTTCACCTGTTTTCAACAGGAAAAGAAAAAGTAAAGTGGAAGAAGAATGCCTTCTTTTAGATAAATTAATTGACATCATTCTATTTATTGGAAAGCAAGGCATCGCTTATTGGGGTAAACATGAATGAGCTTGTGTTATGGGTGATAATGTGGACAAGGCTCCTGAGATAAAGGGCAGCAATTTTCTGGGACTTGTGATGTTACTCAGCAAATATGATCCCATGTCAAAACCTCGTCTAGAAAAAGTTAAAAAAAAAGAGCAGGAATAAAAAAGGGTATGAAATGTTGGTGTTCATTTATGATTTTTTTGAGCAAGACAACTGTTAACAGAACTATTATTGTTATATTGAAGAATATATCAAGAAACCTATTGTTAAAGAAGTTTAAATGTCTGGAAAGTTTGGAATTCAAGTTGACTCAAACCATAATGCAAGAGTTTTAGGATCCTGTAAGGCAATTTAAGGTTAATGTGTTATATGTTATTTTGGATACTGCCACAACAGCAATCAAAGACCATTTCAAAGGAAATGATGTTTTTATCTTAAAGTATATTGCTTGTCTGAATCAGAAAAATTCTCCTTTAAAAAAGACTGCAACAGATGTTTGAGTTGCATTTTTCATTTTCTCTAATATACATTATTCTGCATATCCTAATATGTATGTTGCATATAAAATGGCATTATGTCTACCTTGCACACAGGTGAAGTGTGAGCGAGCATTTTTGAAGTTGAAGATTGTGGAAAATCGCCTTTGTAAACTTTTGGGTGAAGAGGACCTTGAATCACTTATTTTGTTTAATGTTGAGAATGACATAAAAGTTAATTACAATCAGGTTGTCCGCAGTTTGGCAAAATTATCAAAACTTCTTATTGATTACTTGCTATAATAAAATACTGCAAATTCATACCTTTTTTTTATTTTTTAATTATTAATTTCTTTGTAAATAATTGAAAAACTTAACAACAAATTTGATTGTTTCGTAATATTAACACAGTTATTGAAAAAAAAAACATTTTAGCAATTAAGTGAAAAAATTAAAGTGGTGCAATTTAGAATTACTGTATTTTTAAAACCTTGCATATGGGCTCTATCTATACTCTCTCCTTCCCCGGGCCCTTTAGTACCAGTCTGACTCTGAATCTAAGATCCAATACTAATGTAAGACCCAATACCTTTTTTGGCAACATTCTTCTAGCTAGTTCTCTGCATTCTTCAAACTAGTTCTACGCTTAGTTGTTGTAACTCGTTGTTTTAAATATTTGAGCCAACTTTTGTTGCTGAGCCAAGGATTTGTTCTGATTGATTAAAGATTGGTTCTGCTAGTTCTGAATATGCTGCTTTTTTCATGATTACCAAAATTCAAAAATCATCAAAAATTAGGCACGTTGATGAGATCACCTGCTAGCTTTCAAGTTTTAACTTTTTTTTTTGCATGTAAAATTCAGAAACATCTATATATTGGCTTATTTCAATGTAGTTATAATTTTTTTGATTTAAAAACTCTAAGAACTTTCTAATTTATGTTCTCTTATTGACACTGATTGACATTTTTAATAATTCAAGTAAATATTTGACAATTCTTAGTGATTAAAAAATTGTTTTGTAAAGTTAAAGTTACTTTTTTGAGTTAAGCATGAAGGATGCTTAATAATTGTGTTAAATTAAAGAAGTAAAGCTTAATTTAAAGAAGTAAAGCTTACTTGACTATAGTGGGCCTCAGCCCTTGTAATTAGAAAAAAATAATGTCGGCAATAATTTGCCGACCTCAATCTTTTAGCGGCGCATCAGATCGGAAAAAAAAGTTTGATACAAAGGTCTTACCATAAAACATAGAAATCAGGTCAGCGATTTTTAGCCAACTTCAAACACTTTTATGTTAATTGTTAGGTTGGCATCGCAGAATGCCAACCCTAATTCCAAGGGCTGATGCCTTTTGACCTTGAGGAGCTGAATTCATTTTTAAAAATTAATATATACATATATAATGTTTTTAATGTTAAATATTTTTTACATTTAGACAACATAATGATGGTTGATTTAACAAGTGTGCAAATCAGAAATCAATATGAAAATGCTTTTGATCAAAAATTTATTCAACCTTTTTTTAATGTAAATTTTTTATTTTGCTTAATTAATATTTTTTTTATTATTTGTTTTTCTGTTAGACATTTTTTTTATTATTTAAATGTTATAAATAGATTTTGTGTAAAATATGGTATTTATAAATTATTTCTTTCAGTCATTGGATGACGAGCTTTTACGATTTAACAAATTTTTGATGGCAGACCATTGTATAAATGACTCTCCCTTGATGAGGAAAATATTTGAACTAGATACAGAACTAGACTTTTCAAATGTTACAGTCATGAGTCCACAACTTTGGCTTTACAAGCAATCAGTATCGGTTGAAAGTCTTAAAGTTGCAGTTCAACTGAAAGTAGCAGCTGGTGGTGCTAATGACATATTGATTCTTGAGAAGTTTTTGGAACAGGTTGTTCTTTTATCTTTTAAGTTTTAGGTTAAGGTTTTAATTGTTTTTTTTTTTTTTGATTAAGTTAAAAAAAATTAAGATTAAGAGAAAGTACTTAAAAAACTCTGCAAAAAATATTTTTATGACGACTTTTTTTTTTTTTTCCATAATAAATAAGCAAGTTGTTTTGTGTAAACTTTCCAAAATGTTATTGATTATACTGAGTCCATGAATATGTAAAAATTTAGGATGTTAATAAATGAAGTTGCTCATTTTGAATCCAAAAGTTTATATTGTGATTATCAAAATCTATACCACTCCTTAAACTTTTTAATTCTGTGAGCAATAGGGCTCACAATTGTATTAAAAATTCGGTGAGTAATTATCGATGTTGATTTGTCATTACAAATTGATATGCTTGAAAGACAAGTTAAAGAAAAAACATTTTACTAGTTCAAATTTATTCTTGGCTGAAATAATAAAATACATTTCATACAAAATATATTGGTTACTTGATTTGCATTTAGTTAATATGCTGTTATAAATTTTCATTTTTATAAGTTTAATATATTATGTTATATAGTCAAATATTACAATTTGCATACTTGATCTTATTATTTCTTTCAAGGATCCTACCACTTCTGGTTTTATTACCTCCCCCTGGATCAAGCTGTTTGCAAAGAATCTTTCCTCAAATTTATCTCTTGAATCTAATGACTACACTCTTCCTGTCAAATTTTAGAAAAACTGGTTAAATAATTGTTAGACATCTAAAACCCTACTTCTGTCGCTATAGTGATTTAAACACTTTTATAGCTTGTGGTCTGGACAGCAATTCCGTCTTACATAATATTTTTCTAGAACTCTTTTTTATTATTCTTAAATTTAACAATTTAATTTAACAAGATATTGCATAACTAAATCTTTTTTTTTTCATGTCTGCTGAAAAATGTTAACTATGGTTCCAATTTAAACCTCTGGGGATCACTTTGATCCTTTAAACTATTGCCCAAACTCCTAGTCTTTGAGTTTTAAAATAACAAACATCTAGCATCTCATCTTCAGTATAGCATTTTACTTTCTGCTAGTCAATATGGATTTTGGTTTGGTTTTTCTACTACTTTTTTGAAAGACATTTTAACAGAAAGATCCTATTTTACATTAGATGGAAACAGTGGGGCAAGAGCTATTGCTTTTATCATATCAAATGCTTTTGATAAGTTCAAGCTGGACTTTTACATAAGCTCTTTTTATATGATCTATTTGAGAAACTTTTTAAAATTATTAAATCATTTCTTTCTAACTGCAATTTAAGTAGTAAAGTCTTTCTAGATAGGCAACAATTTCCTTCATTTTCAGTAATTTCTTTAGTATCGCAAGGCAAGAATACATCTAGTCATTCCTCATACACCCTTATACATTTTTTCTTATTATTATATTTTCCTGATACAGTTTATAGTTCTATTTTAAGTCTTCTGTCAACCATTATTATTAAAAAAAAAAAAAATTTAAGTTGATTGGTTTTTAACATAACAGAAAATACTTTTTTATGTGTCTAATTAACACACATTGAAAAATTTTTTTGAGAATAAATAGAAAAAAAGAAGTATTTCAAAATCAAAGAAATTTATTTCTACAATAGATAAAGTTAATTTTACTTTACAGATAAAAAATCAGACTTCAGATGCATCATTTCTGCTGTTAATATGAAACATGTTTTTACTTTGGCTCTTATGTGTGTAAAATGCAGTCCTATACTTTTTTTTAAAAATGTTTGTTTCATCTAATTTAGGCATTCAAGAAATACTTCAAAATGGCTATAATAAGCCTCAATAAGCCTTGTTTTTTGCATATTTGCTGGGTTGTCTTATTTTTAAAACAAATGCATTGTTTTTAACACCAAGGAAATGAATTGTAAAACAGATTTAAATGTAAACTAGGTCTGAATTCTATATGATTAATTATAAAAAAAATTATAAAATCAAACCAATCACACTTTAATACTTAATGTATGTTACTTTGCGTTATTTGAGTAAAATTTATACAAAATTCAGAGTCAGTTGAGTAAAATCTATTATTGCTTTTGATTTATATGTGTTTTGTCCTATTTTATGTGTAAATAATTAATAAATTTTTTGAATTCATGTTTACAATAGAGGTGTTAAATTAAAAGTTTTGGGTTTAGTATTTCCATTCCCCAACACATCAACTTAACACATTAACTTAACACAGTTTTTTACCATTCTTAAATCCATTCTGCATAGTCATATAAAGTTTAATATAAATAAGGAAGATCTTATATGATGAATTTACTTCATATGTATAAAATACTTTTAATTTTAGGAATCAGTACTTAGTTTAATAAAAGAATTGCCACTAATATTAGAACTCCAAAAAATTTTGCAACATGAATTTAACTACAAACTTGACAAAAAAACTGCTGTCAATAAAACTGTTGTTGAGTTTTTATCAGATATTAATGCAAGTAAACCAGGTATCATTAAATTTTAGTAGTAATAATTAAAAATTTAAATGGTTTTGACTTTATAGTACACAGTGTACAATGAATTACTTTATACAAGCTAGATACTAGTGCATGTAAGTAGTAATAAGTACTATGTGCTAAGTACTATGCTAGTTCAAAGATTACTAGGCACTAAATACTAAGTGCTAAGGCACTAAATACTAAGTGCTAAGTGCTAAGTGCTAAGGCACTAAATACTAAGTGCTAGGTACTAATTACTAGGTACTAAGTACTTGTACTAAGTAAAGACAAAACAGACTAACTAAATGGTAGTTTAAATTTAAATTAGTTGTTACTTTTTGCTTTTAGTTTTCTTTAATTTTATTATATTGGATAATTGGTTTTATTTTTTTGCAAATAACAGTATTAGTGTACATGACTAATGCTACTAAAGCAGTACTAGGTACTAACTACAAGTAAGTAATGATAAAATAAATTTGACTGCTAATTGTTAGTTGTTACAACTAACATTAAATGTTAGTTGTTACTTTTTTCTTTAAATTTTATTGTAATTTTTTTTTTCAATTTAGAATTGAAAAAAAAAGTAGAAAAACTTATTAAATGCTTCATTAAAACATGGAATCAGGCTCGTGGCCTTTTTACAGGTTAGTTTAACTTATTAGACATTTTCATTGAATGATAATTAACTTAGTGGATAATGAATTTTACTTTTAATGTAGAATTTGAATTTTGATTTTTAAGTGGAAGATGAATTTTGCTAAAAAAGCATATACATTAAAAGCATGAAAAAGTTTTACATACTGGGTTTATCTAAAATCAAAATTGAACAAAACTTTATTAAAACTATTTAAAATTTTGTATAGATTTTTTATATTTAAGTCAATAACCTTTAAATTTTGCTTTTTTTATTATTTTAAATTACTCCCTCCATCTCATTTCAAATTATTATAGTGATATCAAAATAGTTAAGAAAATATTGCTTGGTAAAATTGCCACTTTAATGTTGCTGTTTTTAGTCTATTCTGTAAAAACAGATTTTTTATTTTTTATTTTTATTTTTCATTGTTATATTAGTATGTTATTTCATAAAAGATCTTTAATTTTACCAGTTTTAAGTTCAGGTCTGCAAAAAGCCAAAACAAATAAAAGTCTAAAGTATAGACCATAGAACTAGGCCCATTTTCAGATTTTTATTGGGACTATGGTAACATAAAGTTTTTTTAATTGTTGTATGTAAAAGTCAATTTTAGGGGGTAAACCCCTTTTTTTTTGGTGCGGTAGTGTAGTGCTCTTTTCTCAAGCAAGAAGTTCTGAGATCAATACCCACTATATCCCTGGTACCATAAGTAGGTACTGCTTGTTTTAGATGTTGTATATCATAATAATTAATGTATATATTAAAAATAAGGACTATTTTGTAATGAAATCTCAGTTTTATCTGGCTTAATTCCTTTCTAATTTTAATAAAAGGAATAGAAAATTATTCAATACCATGACATAGTAAATTTTTTATTTTACCAAAACAGCAAAAGTTGCCTAGCGTAAAAATTCCTTTATTTTAACGAATTGTTTGTTGCACGAATTTTAACAGACTAATATCGATGAACTTCAATCAGTTAAAATTTTAATCTATTAACATTTCGTTTCTTTGTCTTCTTCGTCTTAATAATAAAACAACTTCGAAAATATCTTTTCACAACTGAAACACCCCTTATAAGTACATTAAACTTGTTTCTCTGTGCAGCCTCTGTCTTTCAAGATTCGTGTTTGGAGTTAAAGAGTTGAGACAAGGTTGTAATCACAATATTAGTGTAAAAGAAAAAGAAAGTAGCCTCTTCAATAGTATTACCCATCCTTGACCTTGCTGAGTCAAATGACATTATGAAAAAGGGTTTGCTTGAAACTAATCTACTCTTAGGTGTTTAATACACTGAAGGGGAAGTTTACTAATTGTTGGAAATTTTAAAAAGTTAAAATTGCTTTTCTTTAAACTTTTTTTTTTTTTTTTTTTCTTCAAAGTTGTAAGCATTTGTACTTAATCAACCTTTGTCAAAAAGCTTCAATCATTTTGTTTTGTTCAAAAAGCTTATCCCTGATCTACAAAGAAAACATTGATTTTACTTTTTATAAAATCAAGCATCTTTGTTCAATAATTCAAAAATGGTAATAAAAAAAAATAATTCAAAAATGGTAATAAAAAAATGCTTCACCTCATTCAGAGAAAAGTTTCAATTTTTAAAAATAAAACTGATTCTATCTATATGATCAGTCCATCCATGTTTTTTTGAAGATGGAATTTGCAGGTTAATTTGTTACAGTTGATCTTTATACTTTATATTGATAAATTGCTTCTTAAAATGTGTAATATGAGCTTGCTTTACAAGGTGGAATCTTTTCACAATCAGTCTTTCTTTTTTTTGAGCAGCACATTTTGTATCAAAGATGAATAATGTCTTCATATTTTGTACCATACAAAGTGAATACTTGCAACTCATAAACTTAATAAACAAAACTCAAATAATATTTAATGGCAATTAATTACTTGATGATTTTTCAAGTCTATCCGTTTCAATATTACTATGCACAGCAATAGTTCTTTTTATCAATCCATTTGGTACAAAGACATCCTAAATTTGTTTCTGGATAAATTAGATTCAAAGCAATCATAGATTATTTCAAAGTAATTTAATAGTAAATCTTCATTGATTTTCCCTTCAAAAAATACATACACTATGTATTTTCTAATAGGAAAATACATACACTATGTATTTTCTAAAGGTATCTTTAATAGTATTGCTTTGATACTAAATGATTCTTTTAGGCAAAAAGACATTCAGGAAAAATGATAAGTATATTTTAAAATTTATAGTATTCATACCTAAATCCTATAATTAGAAATTTTTGTATAAGACAAACAAGATAAAACAACAAGCTTTTAAAAATCTTTTAACATGGCTCAATAAGTTTATAAAAAAAAATTTTTTAATTTTTTAAAAATTTGAAAAACTTTAAAGTTAAAAAAATTTTTAACTTCAATCATTTTTGTCTTTATTCTATTAGCAAAAAATATTGGACATGTACTGCTGTTTGTTCGACATGCTTTACTGTCTGACCTTTTAATCAATAAGTCAGAATAGCTTTTTATAGTTTATTTTAATTTTATAATTGATATTTTTCTATTAATAACTTTTTACTTACTGTTTTAATCTTTTTCTTTAATTAGAGAGACAGAAAAGATTGGAGCCAAATTTACATTTGATTAAACTTGACAACAAGTGTAGTTTTGCATACTTTATTGCTGCAGGTTCTGACCACGGGTTGTGTGCTTCAATGCTGATTGATTTTCTTGCATTCCAGCAGAATGAATTTTTGGAAGAGTGTCATTTGATTAACCACGCACATGTTTTTCAACATGTTCCTATATTACAGTTAAAAGAAACAGACATAATAAGTTATGAACAAAATTGTGACCTCCTTCCATTAGTGCTTTTAAATTGTGATTACTCTCTAGGTATCGGAAAAGCTCCAAAAATTGAGCATAATTTAGAAATAATTCAAAGACGTCTTTTTGAAAATGTCATTTTTGGTAAAGCATTGATTGACAAGGAGTTAATACCATTCTTTTACAGAGGAGATATCAAAAGTTTAAACTTTCCTTTATTGAGGAGTTCTATTCAACAGGTATGCATTTTTAAATGAATTATATAAGTAATCAATTTTTTTTAATACAATAAACGTTTAGATAATAAATAAAACCAGGAATAAGTCAAACTTTGACTTTTATTTTTGACTTTTTTTGTGTTTAGGGACTTTTTTTTCGGTTTTAAGATTGAGTTAAATTATATTTTTAACTTTATCAGTAAAATATGTAAATACAGTTTTTTGACCAAATTTACAGTTTTTTACACCTTTAATAGCTCATTAATCCACCAACTGAAAAAATTTGATTTGATAGTTGTTAGAAAGATTCAACTCAATAATTGTTGTCTTTAATAAATTGAAGAAAGGTACAGTTTTGAAAAAAAACCTGTCTACACTTGAAAAAAAAAAATGATTGTCATCGTTCCTTAAAATATCTCTAAACCCTTTATAAAAATGTTTTTTTTTTAAATTTTATTTTTGTAACTGTAATTTATAGTTTGCAAAAAATTTCTACACTTGTAAAAATAATTAAATCTTTTTTAAAAAAAAAGGCATTAAAATTTGCATCCATTTTAGCACAAAGAAAATAATTTTCGAGCCATGTCCAGGTTTGTTGTTGCAATTAAAAGATAATTAAAAAAATCTATTTACTGAATGTATCAAATTATTTAAAAATTACTAAAATTGATAAATTACTTAAATTGATATATTACTTTTATCTATTTGCTTGTATTATTTTTATCAGTTTGCTAGTATTAGAAGAAAAAAGAAAAAAAAAAAAACTCTCTAGTCAATTTTTCTAAAGTAATATTTAACATAACTGTTTTCTGTTAACTCCTATGATTTTATTTGCTTCTTTTTTTCTATTATTGAAATTAAATTTTTCTAGACTGATATTCCTTATTCGGAACAAAAAAGAATGTTAGATGAAATGATTGATATAGCAGATGTATCTATTGCTTTACGAGCTGTTGAAACAGTTATTGGTATAATAACATCTACAGGTGGTGATTGTAATATGTATTTACGAGATTATTTATCCAATATTCTTCGCATGAATGAACAGGATTACATAGTTAGCAGAAAAGTTCGTGTTTTATTTATACTTTTTATTAGGTGTATGTTTTTAAGATACATTTTTATCTTAAAAAAATCATTTGATATACATATCAAATTGCAAATGATAGTTATCATTTGCAATTTGATATATATATATATATATATATATATATATATATATATATATATATATATATATATATATATATATATATATATATATATATATATATATATATATATATATATATATATATATATGTAAGTTATATTAGAGTATTCTACTTACTATTGTTTTTGCCAGACTCACATCTATGATCTAATAGGGTGATAAATTTTTTGCATCTAGGTTTATAATTAAATTCTTTTATTGCATTGATCACTCTATGTTGAATTGATGATTCATAAATGTTTTTATCTTTTTGCAGTATACTCTAATTTAACTTTTTGAAGTATGTTTTTATCTTTTTGTAGTATACTCTAATTTAACTTACATATAGTAAGTAGAATACTCTAATTTAACTTACATATATATATATATATATATATATATATATATATATATATATATATATATATATATATATATATATATATATATATATATATATATATATATATATATATATATATATATGTAAGTTAAATTAGAGTATTCTACTCACTATATGTAAGTTAAATTAGAGTATACTACTCATATTTTCATACTACTACTATATATATCTGTGGGTACATGTGTACCCACAGATATATATAGTAGTAGTATGAAAATATGCAGCACATTTAAACAAGGGTTAAATAGTGTGGAGCATGTCAACAGTAGATGACAGTCTACAGCAGTTTTGCTAATTAATTGTCCAAGTTATCAGGTAATATTTTGAACAATTTTACATCTTTAGCATTCATTATCTGCTAGGAAAGGTCATTTCATTTAGAAACAATACAATTAGTAAAAAAATTATGTCTAGGTTAATTGCTTATTACTTCTCGTCTTAGTTGTGATCGAATTTGATTAGCACGAACTGGAATAATTATTGGTGATTTAATCCATTTTATATTATTGATGTTTTATGATACTTTATATTGCTAAATCATGTTGCCAGACTCACATCTATGATCTAATAGGGTGATAAATTTTTTGCATCTAGGTTTATAATTAAATTCTTTTATTGCATTGATCACTCTATGTTGAATTGATGATTCATAAATGTTTTTATATTTTTGCAGATGAGGGTTCCATGCTTGCACTGCAAGTTCAAGGAGTGGACGTACGTTGCAAGTATATAATTTCTTTTAGAGATTATTATCATAACTGACAAAAGCACATTTCAGTAGACCAATTATTTTACAAGCTGATGAGGCAGCTACATACCTTTCCTGAAGATTTAAGATAGTATTAGATTAAAACACCAAGATCTTGTTTGCAGGTAGTTTTTGCAAGATTAAATCTCATATTAATATTGTAATTGGTAAGAGTGTAGTTTTACTTGAGATTGTTTTTACCAACATGTATAACTTTACTTCTATCTATAATAGGGTGCATTAGCCATGTATTAGTCCAGTTAATAACATTGTCTAGATCAGTTTGGAGTATACTTATACTGTTCTTGATATCTTTTAAATTTATTTTTGCAAGTAATTTAGTGTCATCAGCATATATTTTAGGTAGAACAGAGAGATTGTCAGAAAGGTTATTGATATAAAAGAATTAAATGGTAGTTGAAACAAAAGTGTAAGTGGTAAGGACCAAGCCAAAGCACACTATTTTAAAACATGTGGATGAACTCCATCTATTCCAATTGATAAATTAAGTAAAATATTTTCAACAGTAGCTAGTGTAATTATAAGATCTGAGAGAACAGTATTGGTGCAAAAGTTAAAAGTTGGGAGTGGATCATTTTGATTTTCTTGTCATTAAACTATTTGACATAAGGGAAATTAAAGTCTCCAGCAATGAGAAGGCCTTGATGTTTTTTATTTTTAACATCACTGCTTGGAGCTGTAATTGATTTTAGTATTTCATTATCAATTGCAGAATTTGGAAAAATTGGGTTGTAGTTTTGTGGAAAGCTGCAGATGCAGACGAGAATGACTGATTCATTGTTGGAGTCAACAGAGCACCAGATTTGTTCAGAAGTAATAATTTTTAAGTTAATATCAAGCGGTATGCTTTCAACTTAAGATGAAATAAAATTTTCAATGATATAGATTGTTATTCTGCCTCTATTTGAATTATATAGATGTTATCCGCAGAGATTGCAAATTTAATCATCACGAAACCATGTTTTAGTTATAAATATGATAAGTGGTTTTACAATTTTGATGCGTAATTGTATTTCAGAGAGCTTGACTCTGTTTAAGGATGTGGAATTGGTATGCATGCATTTAAGTTGCTTATAAAATCTATTGGTATCATTTAGTTAACTATAGTTACTGTTGGTTTGAAGAACTAAAAATTAGCATTTGAAGTTGAGGCCTTTACTGATGCATTTTTTAGTGTTTCCTTTGCTTGTTTATTGAAAAAGAGGGTGTTTACTGTGGCCATTAATGAGAAGGGTTTTGGTGACATTAATGCAGCGAACTCTTTCACCAGTAGATAACATATCAAAATGGTGAGTTAAGTTTGCCAATTTTTTCAAGCTCATTGTTTGCTTCTTTTTGTTCCTTGGTTAGGGTGTTAAAGTATGTTTGTTCAGTTGGCGTGTGGTCTGGTTTAATAAAAATGTTTTTGTAGCATGTATTTGCAAGACTTTTAGCCGATGATATGATATCATTGCGTGCGATTTCATTTTCTAATTGAACAACTAGATTAGTTGGATATATTACGAATATATTTGATGAAGAGTCAGTTTTATGAAGAATATATGATCTCGATTTTTGTGTGTGAGTGTGCACATTTTTAACATTTTTGTTTAATGGTTTCATTATCAGTTCTACTTGAGCAGTATCATCATCAACAATTTCATTGTTATTTATTTTCTTTGATTCTGGGACCTTAACTAATACAAGATTTTTTGCTTTGTTTTTGTAGTATCTGATGATTGTCCATCGCACACTGCTCAATTCTTTTTTTTAAATACTTGAGTGCTTTATTTTCGTAGAAATCCGTATTACTGGTAAAAGAGGGCTACCACTTTAAATCAGTGGATTACCTTTTGTTGTGAACTTTTTTTCATATTACAAACCTTATTAATACAAATAGAACCGTTAATTTTTGTGTGTTTTTTTCATATATACAAGTGAGGCGGAATGCAGTCGGATGCCATCCTATTACCTTTTCATAAAGTATTAACCATTCTGCTAACTCTTTTATAAATCTCTATATATAACAATAATCAGATTATTTTACCAAATACCATCCTGTTACTTTTTTTCCTCCACTTCGAGCACTGTATGTATATGTATATATATGAATATATATATACATATATACATATGTATATATATATATATATATATATATATATATATATATATATATATATATATATATATTTATATATGTGTATATATATATATATATATATATATATACAGTACTGTGAATATGTTTTAGACCACTTACATTTTCTCAAAAAATCCAAGAGAATTCTTCCTTAATATTTAAGTTTTGAATTCTATATTATAAAATTATTAAAATACATATATTTCGCACAAAATATGGAACAATAACAAACTTTTTAATGTCACACTTCATAAAAAAACCCTTAATATTTACTATGTCCTCCTTTTGCCTTAATCACAGCCGATATTCGCCGGGTAATAGATTCATACAAATTTGTTATAAAATCCTGCGGTATGTTGTGCCATTCTCTTTGAAGTAGTTGAAAACATTCTTCAGCATTTCGGGGAGTATGTTCGACCTTTTTCCTGTCCAAGTAATCCCATATATGCTCGATTATATTCAAATCTGGACTCTGGGGAGGCTAGGTCATCATTTCCAGTATTCCTTCTTCTGCCATTTCATTTAAATAATTTTTTGCCACTCGGGAACAATGTTTTGGGTCATTGTCCTGCTGCAGAATAAAATTATGGCCCATTAGTCTCATTCCGGATGGTATAGCATGCTGTCTTAGAATATCCACATAACGTTCCCCGGTGAGTCGTCCATCTATTTTGATCAGATCACCTACCCCAGATGAAGATAAACAGCCCCAAACTTGTAAAGAGCCTCCTCCGTGTTTAATAGTAGGGTTTAAACACTCGGGCTGATAGGCTTCTCCTATTCTTCTTCGAACATATTGACGTCTTTTCGTTCCAAAAATTTCAAATTTGGACTCATCAGTGTACAGAACCCGATTAAACATTTCCTGGGTCCAATCTTTGTGTTGTTTTGCATATTTAAGTTGTTTTTCTCTATTGCCACGCCGTAATAAAGGTTTTCGAATAGCAACGCAGCCTCGTAATCCTGATTTGAGTAGGTGTCGTCGAATACAAGAAGAGCTAACATTTTTCCCTGTTGCTGTATTAATGTCCTTTGCCAATTCGGTGGATGTTTTTTTCCTGTTTCTTAAAGAAATGGTTTTTAAATATTTATTGTCATCTTTTGTTAGCTTAGGAGGTCTGCCACTTTTCTTTCTATTTCGAAGGGAGCCAGTTTCTCTAAACTTTTTAATGATTTCTCTAATAGCAGTCTTCGAATATCCTGTTTTGGAAGAAATTTGGCGCTGCGAATAACCTTCTTCGTGAAGCACAATAACTTTCTGTCTCTCTATTAAAGATATTTTACTCATAGCAACACTTAATTATTCTAAAAATGTAAACTAATAACTTTATTTAATTATTTTTAACTATTTGTTTAACTGTATTCATAAAAAATAACAACTTTTTAAAAAATGTACCAAAACCGATTATTATTGTATTAAATTCACTCTATGACTACATTTTATACTGTTAAAAACTTAAATGAACGAATATGAACCTGAACAAGTAAGAAAAAAATCGAAAATTTTATTTTTATGTATTATTTAGATGAACGCTTGGTCTGCAGTTATTATGCATAATTTCGTTATATTATCGTTTTAATAAATATTATCGTTTTAATAAATAAACAAACATATCCCTCATGTTCCTCATAAATTTTTGTTTATTTATTCAAGATAATATATTCTTTCAACCTTTCTCAAATATTACTCAACTTCAGTATGCTTAAAAAAAAAAACACACAGGAAAAAAATTGAAAATACAACTAATTATACAAGTGGTCTAAAACATATTCACAGTACTGTATATATATATATATATATATATATATATATATATATATATATATATATATATATATATATATATATATATATAATTATATAAAACTGAAGTATATAAAACTGCTATAAATATTTTTAAGATGCATGACTATATACGATTGACTCACTTGTACTCTGTATGGCTCATGTTAACTGTTGAACAAGCATGTAGAATATACACAAGTAAACAGGTATTTATATATATATATATATATATATATATATATATTTATTTATTTATTTATTCTTTAATTATATTAATTATATTTATATAATTATATATATTTATTTTTTTATTATTGAATTCTTGCACTTGATTATTGCTATTCTTTTATTTCTCAGATTCCATTTCATGTAAAAGAATCTTTTATGAGTGAAAACCTTGAAAAGAAAGTGGTTGAAAAAATGGAAAAATTGCTGCATCATGTTGACAAAAAGGAACTGTTAAATCTAATCACTGAGTACATTGTTTTGGAGCTGCCATTAAGAAATGAAGCTGA